CCGATCTGCTTTTGAACATCCGATTCATCAGCCTCTGGTATGTCGCCCCTGCGTTCTTCAGTCCAAACGGCATCACTTTATAACAATAAACTCCCTTCGGAGTGATAAATGCCGTCTTTTTCTGATTCAGGGGATAAAGAGGGATCTGATGATATCCTGCTCGGGCATCCAGGAAGTCCATTCGTTCATATCCGGCTGTGGCATCTACCAGCTGGTCCACCTTTGGCAGGGGGTAGTCATCCTTGGGGCATGCCTTGTTTAGGTCTGTAAAGTCTACGCAGACACGCCACTTCCCCCCTTTCTTCTTTGCACACACCGTATTAGATAGCCATTCAGGGAACTGTATCTCTCGAATTGAGTCGGCCTTCAGGAGTTTGTCGATTTCCCCGTTGACCGCGCGGGTGTGATGCGGGGCCATGCGTCGTGGCCTCTGTTTGACCGGCTTGTGCGACGGGTCAACATGCAGCCTGTGAGTGATTATCTCAGGGTCTACCCCTGTCATTTCCATTTCGTTCCAGGCGAACACGTCTGTATTTCCCCTTAGGAACTCGATCATCTCCTCCTGTTCGGCTGCGGGCATCGAGGTCCCAACTAGGAAATACCTCTCTTCTTCTCCTTCTACCAAGGGCACCTTCCGGAGGTCTTTCACTGACCGCTCAGTTGGGTCTATCCGGGGGTCATCCATTCCTGGACGCCCGGACTGTAATTGCTATTTTTCCATAATCTCTTCCGGCGCTCGCCCCTTCTCCTGGCTGGATGCCCCGGCTCGAACGGCTGAATAAAAACAGTTTTTCGCGGACGCTTGGTCCCCCCGGATCTCCATGATACCTTCTGGCGTGGCGAATTTTAATTTCTGGTGGAAGGTGGAATGCACCGCACCCAACGCATGCAGCCATGTTCGCCCCATAATCACGTTGTAGGGAGAGTCCGTATCGATCACAACAAACTCTGTGTCGATGATAAAGGGACCAGTGGCAACTGGCAATGTGATTTTCCCCACGGGCAAGGCGAATGAGCCGTTGAACCCGATGAGGGGTGTCCTGACTTTGGTGAGGTCTTTGGGGCCAAAGCCCATCCGTTTCAAAGTTTCGAAGTACATCACCTCCGAGGAGCTCCCAGAGTCTATCAAAATTCTTTTGACATCGAATTTCCCTATTCTTAGGGTCAAGACAAGGGCGTCGTTATGGGGGTCACCACGCCTGTCAAATCCGCGTCGGAGAATGTAATGGCAAGCTCACCCGTCCTGGCCCTTTTACTTGATGGCCCTACATCACCCTCGGCTACCTTCCTCGTAAAGGCTACCCTCTTGAGGTCGGACTCGAGTTCCCTGGACGTGGGGCGATCCAGGGGACATATATGGATGACATCTATGATGTTGTCCGGTTTCTCGGTCGGGGCAAGGGCTCGTCTCTCTTCTGGCCTGGGCTCTATGTACTCTTTCAAATGTCCGTCTCGGACCAAGCTTTCCAAGAACGACTTGAACACCCTGCAGCTTTCGGTGCGATGCCCGACATCCCGGTGATATGAACACCTAACCTTTTGATCACGGGTGGAGGGGTCGCCCTGCATCCTGGGCGGCCATTTGAAGAACGGCTCGTGCTTGATTTTATGGAGCAACCTGAAGATGGGTTCCTTGAAGACAGTGTGAACTCCTCTGGACGGGATAGCAATCCCTTTCGGGGAATATCTTCGCGCTCCTTCTCTTTTCTCTTAGATTGGAGGGCTCGGCTTTTGTTGCTTCCCATCTCGTCCTCAACCCTCGAGTACTTGTTGATCCGGGCCATCAGTTCCCCCATATCCGAGGGAGTCTTCTTGGTCAGGGATCGGTACAGGTCCGTGTCCCTCGCCAAGCCGAGCCGGAAAGATGCTCGCTGCCATGACCTCCGAGCAGCCTTCTACTTCATTGACCTCTTCCCAGTATCGGATGGCGTACTGGCGAAGAGTCTCGGATTCCCTCCGTCTGAGGGTCAGCAATGATCCAATGTCTTTGGGGCGCTTACTCCCCGTAATGAATCGAGCCAGGAACTGCCTAGTCAATTCCTTCCAGGACCCAATACTGTTTGGGGGAAGCGTCTCGAACCATTTCATCGCAGAGTCCCCCAAGCTCATAGGGAACACTCGGCAGAGAAACCGCTGGTCCGAATGATAGAGGGACATCATCTGCTTGTATTGCCTGATATGGGCTTCGGGGTCGGACCGCCCGTCATAGGTTTTGAACCGCGGCACGACGAACTTTCTTGAGACCTCCATCTCACTGATTTCCCTCGTAAAGGGTGTTTGTATGACTTCGTCCTCGGCCTCATCCTGGACAGTCTTACCCTTTCTCCTGGAGTCTAATCGGGCTCTGAGATCAACTTCTTCCCTGACGGGATGCCTTCTGAAGTCCCTGAGTTCATTGGTAACCCCTCATTTCCCCGGCGTCGTGTGGATTGGGTTGAGTCCTCCTCGGATTCATCTCCCTTCCTCCGTCTAGACAAACCTCGTCGGAGGTCGTCCAGGGCCAATGACCTTGCTTTCCTGGACTGGTTGTCATGATGATGTTCGCCGGCTCTGGGTCGCTTTGGGGCCCAGAGCTTTCTGCTTTATGGTCTAGGTGGTTTCTTAGATCCTTCGTTTCCGCCTCCCGGGCGGGAAGTCCACGGGAAAGGAATGAATCCCTCGACCCTCCGCCTGAGGCGGCAAACTCGTCGAGCCGGCTAAGGACGTTTACATTGTCCTTCTCCAGCTGACGTAATCTATCGCCAAATTTTTCTTCAATCACCTCCGCCAGCTGACGAGCCAATGGGGCTGATCCCCCTGACCTGATCCCCATACTGGTTTGAGGGGTAACCCCTCTTGACCGAGTAGAGGCACTTTTATTCGTGTTGGTGTGATCCCTCCCTCCGTGATGAAAGGGAGCTTGTAACTCGAGACTCATTTGGTGGGGTCTTTTCCCTTTTTGTCGAGTGTTCACCATGGTCACTGTTCTTTATAGAGAAAAAAACTAGAAAAACTAGTCGTTTCCCACAGACGGCGCCAGATTATGCGTGCAAGATCCTGCACAATATAAAAAATGATAACAGATCTCTCCCTTGGCGAACTCGAGTGAGCCGGTTGAGTGACCAAACACGCTGCTTGGGACAGCCTGCAAGGTACGGTGGTAACCTGGAACGGAAACGGGAGACCCTGGGAAAGGAAGAACAGTCCTGTAAGGCTGAAAGAGGTCCCTGGAACAAAGAAGAACAAGTTAGAAGGGCGCCGGAGTGTTTTTCGGCGTATCCCTTCCGACGATCTAGTCAGTCTTTGAGAAAGAGAGAGGAAGGAGAAAACACTGAGAATGTATCGTAGTAGAGAGTTAGTTGTTGCATACCCGCTTTGCCTTTTGCAAGGAGTATTTATACCTTAAAAAGCTCATGATTGCTGTCAGTGTGGTCAGCAGGTGATCATTGGGCACAGGTAGCGTGTGTATTGATTCTGATGAGGAATGTCTTCTCTAATTAACTACTCGGGGTCCCGAGCAATCAATGCTGGGTTGTCGGGATGCCGACGGTACAATGTGCTCCTCTCGGGGAGGATGCAATAAATGCTCTGTAATAGGAGCATTTATTGTCTTTCATTTCCGAGCCTTACCACATTGAATGCGGTCTCATCAACGGAAGGGTGCAATTAATTGTTTGTTTTCCCAAGTCGCGTGTCAGCAACGGCATGCGGTTTGTCTGTCTTTGATGTGACATCATTTGCCACGCGTCCATTCCCTATTGGCTGTGACCTCTGTATTCCAGTACGTTCTGACATTACTTGTGTAAGACGAGGTCATGATGAATAGCCTAGACTAGCCTAGGCTAGTGACCTGTACGTCAATAGCTTATCCTGGAGTAGAGGAAGCGTCCAGGAGGGGGTACCCCTCGGCACCGAGGAAAGGCTCATCTCGGGGACCGAGGGAGGTATGCCAATCGAGGTACATATCAAGCCGAGACTACGTGTCGGTTGTAAAATATACTGAATGTATGATCCTATATGTCGGTACCTCGGGGGCGAGGACCTTTATACGCCGATGGTGCTTGATCTTAGCAACAGTGCTTTAGTAAAACCGATGACACGTGTCTTCATCATATGGTATTTCAGAAAAGTCCCATCAAGAACTATTCTTTTCTGCTCCTATTTTTGCACGAAAAAATTTACAAATCTGCTCCCACTTACAAAATGGACGGATTCTTTGAGGATAGCAAACCTGTTATGGCCTTGATTGCTAACGGAATGCAGCCACACATTTTCACTATCTCCTTTCCTATTTCTTTTTCAAGTCGAAGTTCATACATTTTTCTTTTTTTGACTTGAAGGCAACTTTACAGAATAATGACCAATCCTCTTCTTCATCAAGAAGCTTTGGTCGATGAACTCGTGTTTTCCATCACTCCCACGCTTGTCACAACATGCTCATTCCTTGATGTGATTATGATGCAGCCACTCTGCTCCTATGTATTTGGAAATCCGTTTGAGATTGTTTCCCACCATGCACTTTCGATGTTTCATACATCATCCAAGACAATTAGGTAAGTTTTATCCGAAAGCACCTGCCATATTTTGTGTGGCAAGTCACTGGTGGCTTAATCATCTACTCCTAACTGTTTCAAGATACTCTTCAGTATTTCATCCTCATTGGCGTTTTGAGTTATTGGAACCCAAATCTTCTCTTGAAATCGAGCAATGGTAGTTTTGCCCAAGCCCCTCATCCCCACAATACCAATGTGATTTAATTCCTCATTTTGAGGGAGAATCCACCCTTTTATTATTCTAGCATCTTCTGTTAACCCAACTATTTCTGATTATTTGAAAACTTGTGAACTCCTCCGCGTTTTGCCCCTATTGTCTTCGCTGCGAGATTGTGCAACTGCCTCAAGATATATAGTCAAATTCGGTTTCATTTGCTCAATTTGCATGCTAATGTTGACCAACTTCTTTTCTGATTGATAGCGGAAGAACAGTTCACAAGAAGATAGATGGTAGCACGAAAAACTCTCTTAGTTCTTCCGATAATCTGCTCGAATTTGACAATCTATCACTAGGTTATCAACTTCATGAATTAGTTCCCTCAGTTTATCTAAGGTTGCCTTAAGTGTTTCCAACTTCCCTTTGAGCTTGTCCGTGTCAGTAAGGAAGGCGTGCATGAGAGTAAGTTCCCTTTTTATCTCCTCAAACCAAGTTTGAAATTGAAGAAGATTCTAACCAAGGACATAGATAGCATTGGGCAAATCTTTCACTAAGAGTTGAATCACTGCCTCTGCTACTACACCTTCTACCATTTTGCCTAAGAATTCAAACCAAGAACTATACACTAGGCAATTAATAATGGGTTGGGTGTTTCAAACAACTAGTTTAGAATATAAATGCAGAAACTCTTAAGGCTATGTTCCATTGCGCATTTTTCTATTTTCTCATTTCTGCATATGTATGAAGTGTCAAATTTCAATAGATTTTTTCTAATACATTTTTACTAAGCCAAAACACTAGAAAAAAAGTTAAAAATCCCTATAAGCCTTTGGTTCGCCATATTGATAAACAACAGATACATAACATTAACGGCACCATTCGCTTACACAAATAAACCAAGTGAATCAAAATTTTAAAAAAAATCTAAGAAACAGTCTATGTACTAATTTCTAACTTGCATTTCATGCAGAAATGTAATGGATATCAAAGTAGAAGAATTGAGGAATTGACTGAAATGTAAATTATCATCCCGCTTTATGGAAACTACTAGGATTAATCACAAGGAATAAAAATAAAAACTCAATTAACGTTTTGATTAAATCAATTTCTTTGCTAATACGAAGTAAAATTTCATCAAAATGTCCTTCATAACAAAAAATAATAATAACTACTTTTTAAGGCCCCAACCAACCCTGTCTTCACTAACCCTACCACCACCACATCTCCACCATCTCCCCAACCCCTTGCCACAATCACCACCATCGTTGTCGTCACCCCATTAGCACCACCATTTCAGCATTGTACTTGGAAAAAGTAGCAATGAAAGAAAAAGGTACAGTTTGCTGCTAGGACATGAACCGAGCATATTCCTCCCATATAATAGTAACCAACTCACAATAAAGAGGAGTCGAACGTGCTGATGGAGCAGGTAAAGAGGGAGCTTCATCCTAATAGGAGACCTGATTGGCAACGCCAGAGAGCTTGCCATGTAAAAAATAAGCAACAGTGCGATTAGTACGACCACATGAGTACATAAACGACCCCACGACCTCCACTACATGTCCCTGAGAGTTACGGCCACTGCGAGTACTACCATTATTGCTATTAGAGGCAACTAAGGTTGAACGATTAGGAGAGAAGACCATGATCGATGGTGGAAGTAAAATGAGCATCAGACAAGGTAGTATGTTGTAAACGGGAAAAGATGGAAGGTTGGGACCACTCGAGATCTGGGCAAGAATAGTTTCATACTTTGGCTTTAAACCAACAAAAAAACAAACATCACTCGAATCCTCACATTGTTGCTGCCAAATTTGAGCATCAGTGGTGAAAAGGATGGTAAATCCTTAATTCTTCACAAACTCTCCGAACTTGGGAGTAATAGTCCTCTAAATGCGGAGTACCTTGGTCAAGACAAAAATATTGCTTGTAGACTTCATATGCACAAGTAAAATTACGAGTGCGAGAATACATGAGTGTCAATGATCCATGATGTCCTTGGTAGTATCGAGATAAAACAATGTAGAACTAATATAAGGCTCAATAATGGTCAACAGTAAGGAAAAATTTTGTGCCTTCTCTTGTTCCTACTAATCGAACTTGGGGTCATTGTCCTTGGTACCAAATATTTTTTTAAGGTCATTGCCTTTAAGAAATACTATAACCGAACGAAGCCATAAAACATAATTAGTCCCGTTGATTTTGACAAAAGTCATCGGGCTATTAAAATGGGCAGCATGGTAAAGTGTGGGTGGTATGATGGGGGCAAGAGGCAGAGTATTAGTCTAAGGCTCCATATTAATATCGCAGATGTTGAGACAAACCAAACAAAGTACATCAAGTCACCTGAATAGTGCAAAGTAGTCAACGACAAGAGAATTCGAGGTGAAATGGATAAAGAACCAAACGAGGAGGGCAAACAGATGCCAAAGTAGCCTTTGGACAGGGCTAAAAACCCTAAAAAATAACTGAACCAACCTAAAGGGTGTCTGAACTGGCTTTTAACAGTAGCTAAACTAGCTTGAATAGGAGCTAAACCGACCTGTAACCCTCCAAAGTCATTGGAAACAACAAAAAGTAGCCTCTAAACCGGTTGGAAACGCTCGAAAGTAGCTGAACCAGACTGAACCGGCCTAAATAAGGCTTGAACCAGAGCTGAACCTGCCTGAAGCAGGACAAAATTGTTTTGAACTAGCTTGAACTTGATTTGTACCGATCTGAAATTGAATCGATTTAAGTCTAAACTAGTTTAAACCTAAATCCTAGGGTTATTGGGCTCACCAAAGCTGGGCTGAACACGTGGGCCTCTATTGGGGCTAGGGAGTTGGGCTTGGACAATGGGCAATCTAATGGAGCAACCCATATCCAATTGGACAATTAAGTAAGTCCGTAACCCAATTGGGTTATAACTCAATGCAGCGATTTAGTGGAACTTTGTCTTCTTCACGTCGAAGGGTTCAATAGAACCCTAGCTATTGACGGTGCACAACAAACATTTCGGTAGCGACAACGACGCCACAGTAGAACTTCGACGACCGCCACAACACACTCACAAAAGGCTCCGGTAAATAAACAACACCAGAATTGAGTAAAAGCAGCAAAGTTGAACACTATGTTGAAACCAAATCACACCTAGCAACAATAAAATCATGTCGACAACATCAAACCACCGACGACCACTACAATACAACCAAGAAAGCTTTCATTGACAGAACGACACTCAAATCGATTATCAACACTCAATTCGATCATAGAATCTCAAGTCCATCACATGGACATACATGAATGACAACACCACAACTATACTCCATCACCACAAACAATAACGATATCTAACCATCACACACAATCACTCGTTAGGCATAAAGGACATAAAACCCTAGACTATGCTGTTGGTTGCACAAGGGACGGAGCAACGAAGAAAAGTAATAAAGAAAAAAGACAAGAGGAAACAAAAAGAAACGAAAAAAATGAGAAAGACCAGGGAAACTGGGCAATGGGCTCAAAATTTTAGATCAAATTTGGATCAAACTTACTCTGATACTATGTTTAGTTTGGATAATGAAGAGAGACAAAACACAATATGAGAGTGAGAGAGATCGAAATGGGTGAATCAAACTTGCTTTGATACTATGTTTAGTTTGGAGATAAGACTCACCTCAACATAACCCATTTATTACCTAAACCTAATAAGGCTTCACCAAAATCCGCTTAAATCCGTGTCGTGTCGAATTTTGATAGGTCTAGTGGTAATGAGTCGGTTTGTAGGTCATGTGTCACGGGTCGAGTCGGGTTGTGGACGAGGTGTATTAGTGTGTATTTGTTGTATACTAGTGTGTGCATTTGCGTTGTATACTAGTGTATGTGTGTGTATTTTTTAGTGTATTAGTGTGTGCGTGTGTATTTTTTAGTGTATTAGTGTGTGTATATTTTGGTTTATTAATGTATTTAGTTAATTTTATTACTTATGTTATTTAATAGAAATATAAATACTCAACCCAGGTTACCTAGTTGTAATTCATCTTAACCTGTTTAATTAAAATGAATTATAATACTAAATTCATTTAGAACTCACATTAATTAATATAAGTATCCAACCAATTTATTTATGAACAGGTTGGATAGGTTAAACAGATTAATGAGTAATGAGCTAAAATTGCCACTTCTACTCAATTATGCGTAAGTTGGCTTGAACAAAAAAAAGGTTAATTGCACCGGAAGTCTCTAAATGATTTGTTTTATTGTAGTCCCTAATATTTCAGTTGCATAATTTTGTTTCTTGAAGTGTTGAATATGTTATATATGTTGTTCCTCAAGCAAGCAATATCTAAATTACTAAAGATTTTTTATCATAAACTTGTTATGTGATACATAAATTTGAACAAAAAATAATTTGAGTAACTTTTGACAAAAAATGTGTAATATGGATAGCTCTTGACTGAAATTTAGATAACTCATGATCAAAACTATGTAATTTGAGTAGGTCTTTGACCAAAATTTGGGTAAAAATTTAGTCAAGAGTTATTCAAATTATTTTTTTGCTAATATTTAGGTATTACAGGACAAGTTTATAATAAAAAAATCGTTAGCAATCTGAGACGCTATCTACTTAAAGGACCACATAGAAATATATTTAATATTTCAGAGACTAAAATGATGCAATTAAAATATAGGTGAGATTAATCCTATCCCACAAATCTCATTTTTCACCTCAATTAATTTCTCATTATCTAACTACTAAACTCGCCCCTTTTATACTCATTCCATTAGTAACTAAGTTCACTATATACACCCCATTTTTAATAAAAAAACACACTTTATATTTTATTATAATTAGAGTTTTATTCTCTATCTTATCTCATACAATCACAAAACACTTTTTCAATATGAATTTTTTCAATGAGATACATCTTAATATTACTTTTTAATTTAATTATATGTTTGATTGAATGATTGTTATATGAATTTTTATTATTTTCAGTATGTTTTAATATTTATGTTAAATTTAATAATTTTTTATTTATAATTTATATGTGTGTATATATATATATACTTTTAGATTATTTGTTATTTTTTTTCTTGTTAAGGTTTTGCGTCTATGTTTGTTATTTTTTTCTTATTCAATTTTGTGTCTATGCTTGATGCTTAATTTTTTTTTTCATATTCGATTTTACGTCTTGTAATTTTACTTATTCCTGTAATATTTTCTTAGTTTTTTTTCTTCTTGTTTCGATTTACTTATTTCTTTATGTTATTTCATTGTTATGTTTTTTTTTCTAAATTTGGTCTACTTCTTTCTTTCCTATTTTTTTTTCTTATTTTAACATAGTTTGTTTTTTTTACTTGTTTCGTTTTTGATTGTTTATTTTTTTTTGTTTTATAAATATATTTATACATTCAACTAATTATCTTCTTTCATTTTTTATTTCTTATGATGATTTCTTTTATTAAAAGAATATATATATAATGAGTGAGTTTAATTATTAATGGAGTATATGTAGCACGAGGTGAATTTAGTTATTAATGAGGTAAATATAAAAAGAGTAAATTTAATAATTTGATAATAAAAAATTAAATTAAATAAAATAAAAATAAAAATTTATGGGATGAGAATAGTCGCAACCATAAAATATTGGAAACTTTTCGTACAATTAACCCAAAAAAGAAAAACAGAAAAAAACCCAGCCCCGTTCAACCCTACCACGTCTATTACATTTTACAGAAGCCAACAACTCTTAAACCCTCCTACTGAATCACAGAAGCCAATCTCTCTCTGTCTCTCTTTCTCTATCACACACAAAAAATGGCTGAAGACGAGAAATCGCAACTCGACCCACTTCGCACCTACGAGCTCCGTCTCCTTCGCTGCTCTATACCGTCCGATCACCTAGACGAAACCCCACCTCCTCCATCTAAGCTGTCCAATACCAGCACCGCGTCTCAGCTCCACTCCCTCATCGAAAACCTTCTCCAATTAATCGAGTCCGGACAGTACCGCCATGCTCTATCCTCAGAAGCAGGCCGAACCCTCTTCAATTTCAACTCTTCCCACCTCCCTTCTTTGTTTGATTCCGCTGATCAATTTTACAATGAGTCGGTTGTCAAGTGTGTCGAATCATTTATATATGGCGATAATTGTGAAGAGAATGACAATGAGAAGTGTTATAGAGCGTTTTTGGTCATGGCCATTGCCGTTGCTGCTCTTCTTTCTTTCACTCAGTGCAATATAACTGGGTTAGTCAGTGCTCAATGCTTAATTGACCTTGCCCTGCTCTGCTTTTGTTACAAGTGTTCAATGATTATTTAATTATTTATATAGGACATTGAATAAGTCTGCACTTTTTAAATGAGAATGGAGCAGCTGTGAATGAAGAAAATGGGTTGTGGATTTAGAGGATTAGGATAAAGTATCAGATTCTGGAGTCAAGTACTGAATAGGGTCTAGTCCATTTATTATACTAGTCAGTTCATTTATAACTATTTCTTTAGGTCGTTTGGAATTGCACATTTGTAATTGAATATGATCTGTTTTAGCTTGTGCTAGGATTTAGGGCAATGATATGCTTGAAAGTAGAAGACCCATAACTTGTGATTTTCCGTGTGGTGTGTGAAGTGTAGGTGTAATTGTGAGAATGTTGATCACACATTGTTGCATTGTCTTGTGGCACAAATCGTTTCAATCAGCACATACAAGCTGGATGAATATTGTGACTTTCTCTTCCATGCTTGTTGAGGATTTCAAGGGGTTTGGAAGTGACAATAAAGGGTCCACTCATTGGAATTGTGCAATCTTTGCAAATATGGGAGTTTGAAAGACTTTATTCATTCATGGTCTTGTATTAAAGTACTCTTGATTTTCTTTTGTTGATTTTTCTTTTGTTTTATTCTCATTTGTTGTGACTTGTGACACACTCTTAGTCTTGTACTTTGATGTTTCTTATCATTCTTGACTTGGAGTTATATGTTATGTTAGTTTGTGTTTTATGAATGGAAAGGAATGCTAGAATATTAGAGGATCATGTAAGGGTTAAGGAGGGTATTGTGTTGAAAATTGACTTTGATAATACTTATAAGTTAACATCATGTAGATTGAAACTTTCTTGATTATGTTTGGAAGTTAAAGGCTTTGGAAGTAGGTGGAGGAAGGGGATGAAAGTTCTCTGGAATCTATGAAATTTTTTGTCATGTTGAATGGGAAACCAAGGGAAAATTTCAAGACTTCTAGGGGTTGATGCGGGGAGATCCCTTGTCTCTATTTTTGTTTACTTTAGTGGTAAATGGATTGAATAGATTAATGGATAGGGACGAAAGATGTAATTTAGTGGAGGATTTTGTAATTGGAAGGGATGGTGATTTAGTTTCTCACTTGCAATATGCAAATGACACTTTTTTTTTTGTAAGGGGAAGAGAAGAAAGTGAAAGGTTTGAAGAGGATTGTTGACGTTGTTGGGTTGTGGCTAGTCTTTAGGTTAATATGGAAAAGAGCATAGTGGTTGATATTAACACTACTCAGGATAAGATTGATAGGATAAGTTGGTTGTGGATTTAAGATGTGTAGTAAGGAGTTAGCCTTTGAAGTATCTAGGGCTTCCTTTAGGTGGTAATTCAATGTCTAGGTTTTTTTGGGATCGTGGAAAAAAACTTTTATTTCTAGAGGAGGTAGACTTAGTTCAATCAATTTTGACTAGCATTCCTATATATGTCATGTCTCTTTTTAAGTTACCTGTCTCAGTGGCAAGGGAAATGGAAGGAATAATGTGGGAATTTTATGGTAAAGAAAAGGGGAGGGTAGGAAAGATCACTTTATATCATGGGAAGTTGTGTCAAGATCCAAGGAAAAAGGTGGGTTGTTGGTGAAGAATTTGCTAAAGAGGAATATTTATTTAAATTGAGGAACTGCTATGGAGGTTTCCTTTGGAACAAGGATCTCGGTGGTTTTATGTTATTAGGATTAAGTATGGACTACATGCTAATGGGGTGGAATGAGGGAGTTTTCGAAGTCCATGAAAGATTATTTCTAAGTGTTTTTCTCTTTTCAGTCAAAAGATTAGGTTCGTGTGGGGAATGGGATTAGGGTCCTTGTTTGGAGGATATTTGGATTAGTTAGTCATCTTTCTCTTAGTTATAGAATCTCTACATTTCAAGGTCATGTGATTATGTCTCTTGTGAGTTCCTTTTCCTTCCCTATTTTATGAGATTTTGGTTTCTGTATAAGTTTGAATGATAGGGAATGCTTGGAAGTGGTTGACCTTTTCAAGACTCTTAATAATGTCTCCTTGACTCATGGTAGTATGGATAAAAGGGTTTGAATCATTGATCCTACTTGTGTTGTTTCATGTAAATCATTATTTGACTCAAGGTAGTATGGATAAAAGGGTTTGAATCATTGATACTACTAGTGTTTTTTCATGTAATTATTATTTGAATCTTTAATTGATGTCCTTGTTTTCCTTTATTCCCTCCATCAAAGGTGATTTGAGAAGAAGGTTCAAGTGTTTGGATAATTGCCCATGACAAGATCAACACTCAGGATGTGCATCAAAGAAGAAGACCCAAGATTTGTTTTTTATTGCAATTGTGACAGTGTGGTTCATTTATTTTTATATTGTCCATTGAATTGTCTCTTTGGAATAGGTTATTTTGTTATGCGGTCTTTGTTGGGTGGTACCAAGAACTATTTTCTCAATGATTGGTATGGATGAGATATGTAGGAGTGGCAATAACAGATGGAAGATTCTTTGACGATGCGCATGTTTTGTTACCATTTGAGGAGTTTGGTTGGAAAGGAATACAAGGATTTTTTATGACAAATGTGAGGTGATTGAAGGATTATGGGATATGATTTTTTTTCTTGGCCACTTTTTTGGGCCTTGATGTCAAAGGAGTTTGAGAATATTCTCTTTTTTTGCAACACTTCAAGTTGGAGAGCTTCATGTGGGATATCGATGTTTTCTTCTTTCTCATGATGTATTTTCTTTTTAGGATTGTCTTTGATTTTTTGTTGTTTTGGACTACTTGTCCAAACGTGACTGCTTAGTGTACTATCTTTCATTTTGATTATTAATGACATCATCGTTTCTTATAAAACAAAATATTAGAGGAGTGATGTGAGTTGGTGGAAGACTTATGTGATTAGATTCAATTGTTTGGCATTATTTTGGGCCTCAGTTACTATGGACTTTGAAGGATTTTCGTTCTTTTGTACTTTGGCGGGATGGAAAGTTTTATGTGACTCGTAGTTATGATTTGTTGTTTTTTGTGGTGTTTTCTTCATGATGGACATCTTGTCCATCCTATGTTATTTTATGATGTACGAGGTGCAAATTAGTAAAATTTGTTATTTCCTATAAAAAAATGAAAAAATGTGAGGAGACACATTTAGGAATATTGTGAAAGAAGATAAAAGGCTATGTATTAAGCGGTTTTAAGATCATCTCGAGATGCAATGTTTTTTTTTAAATAGTTATTGTTTATTTAATAACGTATTAAGTATGAGTTGGACTTAACCCCCCGTACATTTGTATAAATTGTAAGTCTAACTTTCTGTTAACCTACCGTATGTTGATGAGAGATCTACTTGAATACAATCGATTTCACTTGGATTCATAGTGGGAGATATAAAATGCAGAGAATTGGAGAAATTAGTATTGGAGATGATCTGAAATTCATTTGTTGGTGTTATTTATTTATTCTTTAGATTGACAGATATCAGACTTATCTCATGCTTAAATGTAGTCACAAGCGTCTCGTTTCCTGCGCTGCCCCTTTTATGAGTGTGTATTTTTTTTTTTATGAGTGTCTATGGATCTATTTTTTGATGCATATGTGTGTGCATGTGTGTATATATGTTACAGGCCAATAGAGAAGTTCCCTTTGATGCCTATTATTGGCTTGTATTTAGAAGAGGATGATGATTGTGCTGATTGGGAGGAGTGGGAAGGGTGGGCACGTAAGGAGCTAATGTCGGTAGGTTCTGACTTGCTTGGGAAATTTTCTTCTTTGCAGGTACTCTCTCATTCACTTGCATATTGCTTTACTTATTGTAGTTAATGTTGCTGCTCCTATTGTTATTGGTATTCCTTATTATTAGGTCCTGTATAAGTATAACGTTTTAGTTAATGGGTTGGGGGATTTTGCTTAATATTTCTAGGTTTTAATTTATCAGGTTGGTTGTTTTTAGCTGAATAGTACTGGTGCCAAATATTATGGTGTTGCCAAATTACAAGCCTAATTTTATGGGTTTTCACTGTATATATGATTTATTAATTCCTTGATTTTGTTTGCATCCTGGAACAGAGTCAAAGTTGCTGAGTTTTGTTTTGCAGTTTTTTCTTATTTAGATTTTATTTTTGATAAATGGTTGATATTTGCAATAGATATATGTAAGTTTGATTTACATATCGAGGCTTAGGTGGAAATTCCATGTCTCTCAATCTGAAATATGCTTTCAAAATTTTCGAGTTTATTGATCATTTTCCTCCCTTTTTCCCATCCTAACTTCTTTATGGTATCTTGTTTCTGCGTCCTATAGGAAAGTCATAATCAATTTCACTCCTGCCATAACAAACCATAGCATTTCACTCCAATCAAATGACTCAGAAGGTAGCAAAAATTGCACAATTCCACCGAGTGACAATCTTTTTGCCCCTTCCCCCCTCTCCTTTGAATTTTCAGTCCGACTTTTTTGACCTAGAGGAGAAGTGACAGATACATGGGCAACCCCATCTTGTGAACAACTTCCACCACATTCCCAGTGCAATCGGACAATGAAGGAAAAGATGATGAATGCTTTTCCCTTCCTTCGGCACATGGCAGATCATTGTGGTTGCAAACAAGCATGAGACCCTCTTTTTGAAGCAGAGCATTGGTTTGATCCTGCAATGAGCAATTGTCCATGCTTACACTTGGACTTTAATGGTTACCTTGGCCTTCCCAATCATCAAAGACTATGGCTTAAAGTGATTAAGTTGTGATTACAGAAATGTGGGTATAATCATTCTTAGTGAATATGAAAGTTTGATGATCGATGTCTGAGGAAGGTCAATAAGTTTTTTGTCAAATTTATCACTACAATCTATCAATTAAATTAAAAGACTAATTGGTTTCAAAAAAAATAAAATTAAAAGACTAATTCAACTACGAACACATATGGGATTAAGCTAATGAATTGAATCAATCAATCAAGTATTGCATGCAAGTATCTAAAGCAATCACAGTAGAAAAGGCACAAGATTTTTTATGTGGAAACTCGGAAAGGAAAAAATTATGGGGCCTAGTCCAACATAAATACACTATATATGGTTCAATCTTGTTACAAGGCACAAAAGACTTATGAGACCTATATCTCCATAGACTGATGCTTTCTTCTTGTGTTGAACTCGTTTCCTAAATACATCTTCGAGTCCTCTAGCTACTTACCACAAATTGAACTCCACACTGCTGATAAATCAAGCTCCATGATTGATTCTACATCAAGGAATTACCAAAAACATAAAATCTAGGTGTACTTTATCTCTCAAAGTGTATCCCTACATTTCCTAGTAGGTCTGCTTCTGGTTCTTGGAAGGCTAGAGTTTGACCCTCAAGTGTATAGAATCCTTAGTCTCAGGTTTTAGCCTTAGCCCTCGTTTATAGTATTTGTTTTTTATATTGGAAAGAATCCAGTTTGTTTTGCAACTAAATATGCAAAATCACGACAAACTGCTCAAGCTTTTAGTGAGCATAGACTATTACCAAAGAATTCTAGTCCTGGATCAAGCATGACCATTCAAGTAGTTAGCAAGTGAATAGAGAGTGCTAATCAGTAGAATGCTTCAACTCTTTTTCATTCACGCATTGTGGAGAGTGTCAGTCACGGTTTAGCAAACTTAATCTAAGCTCACCAGGTATCTAGGTCAGCTTAGCATACCTAACCAATTGGATTCCACAATGTAGCTTAAAAAAATGTCTTCTAAACTTGGCTTCAGTTTCCTATCTTGAAAGTGCTAGACCCAATAGACTTTTGACTCATAGGTTTGAAGTAAAGCACACGTGACTCAAGGAATTATGTCAACATGCTAAGAATCTAACAATCTCTCCCTTTGGAGAGATTTCGTGACAAAACATTCTTTGAATATTTAAAAAAGAAAATATAACTCCATAAACCAATGAACAAAACTTGAATTATGTCTCTTTTTCTTCTAACTCAAGTACATAGTCACAAAATAAAGTAATGCAACTTGACTTCCTAGAATATAAAACAATAATCCTTAATGAAGTATGGTCTTTGTCAATGGTCCTACACATCACTCAAACAAAACAACTCGTGAAACGCATAAAAATCATAGAAATATAAATCAACATCACAAGTATAAGATAAATGATAAAAAGCACCAAGAGCAAACATGTATAGAGCAATATAACATATATGCTTAAGAAAGAGGGCTACTTCACGAGCCGTTACTAATAATCGAAAAGGTTCACAAGGAGTTCAGTCTACAGTGAGGGAACATTTCCACTAGAGGGTTTGTCTCCATGGAACGAGTATTCACTACCGCTTACACCACCTTTATTCACTCGTCTTGCTACTTCAGAATTGTTTAGCGGACATATGGAGTCGAACCTCTCTCTAGTCTCTACAATGTAGCGTAGGTAGGCTGATTATTGTAAGTTACTATCTCTAGTGGTTTAGAGGTTGTTTTGTTGTTATCAACTTCTTTGTTTGTAGTCTAGTAGATCTACATGTTCTAGTGGATCTAAAATCAGGTTTTGATACGAACGTGATGTGAATATGACAAGTGTGAGTCAAGTGTAGATCAATATCAATGTCGTATTTTTCTCTCTTTTTTTATCACAAAGTGTTTGATATTATAGTATGAAGGAAAGAAACATGGTACGTGTAAAGACAATACAACAATTATTAATACTTATAAATTAAGATAGTTTAAAGGAAAAAAAATGAAGGATTACAATATGTGAAGACACATGAATCACTCTCGAAGTCTTAAGTGTCCCTAATCTAAGTATCCTAATTAGTTGGTCCTATACCAATTGAAAGTTCGATAATCGATGTTTATTAAAACCCTCATAGGTCCTAGTGGGGAGGGCGTAGTTTTTTTTTAAAATGAATTTAAAAAAAAGGGTACTTGAGACTATAGTTGTCAAATCGCGTATCTGAAAATATATCGTTTTTCAAAAATAGTGTATCGTATCGTGTATTGTAAGATATACGTAATTTTAAATAATTATTAATAATATATATATATACACACACACACACACTCCTTTGTAAAAAAGTCATAGATTCATAATAATGTAGCATTTCATTAATATTCACCAAATGTTTAAGTTCCCAACATAGTTCAGTAATATTAAAATGCAAAGACCTCTAATTCAAACTTTTAATATCACCTGCTTTAACAACCTTATTATTAAGCAGAAATTTTGAATGCAATTGAACAATATTAACAACAGACTTTATTTTTATATATTTTTAAACCATAACCACTGAAACAACGTTGTTTCATTTGACTAGTGATTTAAAAATAAGTGTTAGAGTGAAATTATGTCATTTCATCCCTAAAAAATAAAAAAAATCTTCACGTATTGGATGATATGTATCGTATCGTGTATCGTATGATACGGTACAAAAACGATAAAGAGACACGATATGTATCGTTTCAGGTGTGTCGTGACGTATCGTACGATACTAGTAGCTATGTTTAGGACACGAGCTTCCTGCCATTAAGAAGAGTTAAGTGTACGCAGTCTTGCCCTTGCGAACAGAGAGATAGCAAATTATTTATCAAGTAAGACAATAAGATCTATTCAACCATAAATGCATATGGGATTAAAATAATCAATGTCGTGGTGTAGGCAATCAAGCATTGCTTTCAAGGATAAAAGTAGTCACTCAAAAACAGACACAAAAATTTTTACGTGGAAACCCAGAATGAGCAAAACTATGGGACGTAGTTTAGCCTAAATCCACTAGATATGGCCCGACCTTTTATAACATTCAAAATACTTACAACACCTCCGAATCCATAGACTATTTTTTTTTCTGCTTTTCTTTGACTTGGTTCAAAATCCAAAAATAACTTTGAATCTCTTAACAATTCACCACGAATTGAACTCCACAATTTGCTAGTCAATTCACTTTTGATTCTCCACCATCCAAAGAATCGCCTTACTTGAACTCCATTCGCAGAATCCTCCATAGCTATCAATCTATTTATGATGGTGTGGACCAGGAGGGTAGTGGCACTTGTCATTCAAGATAAAGGGGAACAATCCGCTTTGCGAACCACCATTACCACCGTTGATAAGTCTCCTTAATGAAAGAGAAAAGATTGCCAAGGGGCCAAGCGCTCCAGGGGATGGTTAAGTGCGCAAGAAAGAAATTAAAACACGAAGGTGATTACATAAGGAACATATAATCTAGAAATATTTTATCTCTCAAATTGTATGCCTAAATTCACTAGTAGGTTTGATTCAAGTTCTTGGAAGGCTAGAGTTTTGCTCTCTCAAGTATTATATTTCTTAAGCCTTTCTTTTTTACAGTGGAAGGAGTCCAGTCCATTTTGAAAGCAAAATCTGCAAAATTGTGACTAAATACTCGAGCCCTTAGCACGCTATGAAGTGAACCTTGACTATTGTTGAAGAAATCTAGACCCTGATCAAGCTTGACCACTCTAGTGTTTAGTTAGCGCTCTTGAGCGTTGTCTCTTCAATGCTTCAACTCTTCACCAACTTTTACTAACTGCACTGAAATGACTTTGGAGAGCGTTAGTCACTAGTTTGACGAACTTAAAACCAAATTTCAAGACCTTTTTGAGCACCAAGGGGTGTTGCCAATTTGGGCCCCATGCCGTGACTCCAAATGTGTTTCAAAAACATTTTTCTAGGTTATGAAAACATGAGTTATGCTACGGATCTCAAAGTCTCTGTCAGTTTTGCATTTCAACCTAATTAACTAGTATAAGTGCACTATGGCCATTTACCATACCTAACCAGTTTGATTCAATGATGTAGCTTCAAAGAACATCGACCCAACATCGATTTAGTCTTCAATCTCGAAAGAACTTGATCAAATGCACAATGCATGCTGCGGTGAATATGTACCCAGGCCTGTACACATCACTCGTCACACTCGGGGAATTG